GTAAAAAGGGGGTCTTACGTGACTTGAACGTGTAGTGGGTGTTGTTTGGCCCGTTTTTGTGATCGTGTTAGAGTCCGTCGATAATGGATTGATAGCAGTTGGTTGAACAGATCGAGGACTCTTCGATTTTTGTTTCTGAAATTAGACATCGGAAAATAAATGACAGAAATTTACATGAGAATCCACAGCTATAGATAAAGAAAAATGGATAAATAAGGCAATAAGAAATCGACAAAAACCTTCGATTTTTTCGAAGATGAGGTAATGGTAGCAGAATGTTTGCGCTTCCTGATGAGGGCCGATGGATCCGACTCATCGGAGGACTCCCAGTCTTTCTCCTTCTCGGAGGCAGCAATTTTAGAAGTTTTCGAGACTGTCGAAAAAAGAAAAACAGTTAACTTACAATATAAAGAAAACCAAAAAATATTCCTAGAAGAGGTAGCAAAATCTCACCAAAAGGTGATGGAGTCAAAATCTTGACTCGGTCGATATGGACAAGCTAGGGAGGAAGAAGAACTTGAGGAAGGTTTAGGTAAGGGAAATATGACAGCTTCGATATCGAGATTTCTTTATTTTTGGGTTTTTGATAAAGGGTCTCTTTCAAAGATCTTAACTCTCGAACTCATTTAGGATGAGTTAGAGGTTTGGCAAGTCCAAAGGGTGCTGTAGGAAAAGTGGGAAGGTGATCGGGACAATACATTTCAAATGGGGTTTTACCTCGAGGATTGATTATTTTGTGGTTTGATCGATTAGTGTTTGTTTTATTGGCTAAGGAAATAACAGCATCATAGAAGGTCGATTCTAATTTTAAGGGGTTGTAACATACTCGATAAAAATTTTCGAATCGAGATATTTGGAGATAGTGGGAGTGTGTACCTTTCTTCGCCTTCGATTTGTCCTGCAATACGAGAGAAGGATGGGCAGTCAATTTCTGTTGAACTATATCAAAGTCAACATGATTATTCGAAAACCAATCGGCCCACCAATCTGAGAGTTGAAGATCTTTCGATTGAAAACCCGATACTAACACATCTTGGGTCAAGTAATTGCTCCATACTTCAACCAATTCTGACTGCAGCCCCGGAGTAAGAGCAGGGAATTTCGATTTAAACCATGTTGGTCCTCGAAGTTGGTCACTTATTTGTCCGAGATGCACAGTGAAAGGGGCCAAATGGGAATCAAAATGAAATTGGATTAACAAAAATCTGAGGTAATTATGATAGGCAGTCTCGTCGGATTTATAGTGGGGATGTCGAGAAGATAATCGAGCACCCTCTAAATTTAAACTTGGGGGGATTTTGGAGGTTGGGGGGAGGATACTTTCAAAAATCGAGTTCAGCCATAACTGAATAAACCAAATAGGTCTTGAAAAATTCCCCGAAGCTCTGGGGGTATTCAAAATTTCGACAGCTTCATCGAAAGAAGTATAAACATGGACCAATAATAACTTAGCTAAATTAATTCGTGGTTGGCCAGTGTGTAGGAGATAGGCAAGGTTATACAGGTGGGATGAAATTTGGATGGATCGGGGGCAGAAGACGTGAGTGCATAACCAGTACACCAAGAAGGCCACGTGCTCCTCATCAGAAACAGCCACTGTTGAGTCATCGATAAAATGTTTCTCGAGAAAGTGTCCATAGGCTTTCGATTCCCAATCGATTTTTGCCCTTAAAGAATTATCCGAAGGAAAAACACCCTTAAAATATTTTTCCCCTACGGGTTTTAGTCTGGTAATAGCAGCAATTTCAAAGAGGGTGGGTGAAAGGGGACCACAAGATAGTTCCAAAGCATGCAAATCCTTATTCCATAAATGAACGGCAGATAAAAACATAGACATATCCAAAAAAGATAAATCACACTGAGACAAATGCAGGAAATCAAAAATCCCTACAGCCCTCCAATGGTTCCCAAACTTAGCCTTGACTCGATCAAACCATCTAATAAACAAAGGTTTTTTGTGAGGAGGGCTTGTTCGATACACTTTTGAAACGGCAGTCAGGAAATCAATTCGAATTTCGGATTGATGAACAAGGGCCTTGTCTTCGAAGAAAGATTGAGGGAGGAGGAAAAAGATCCGCCACAGCAGCGGATAGGACCTCCAAAAGCGTAATTTACATTATCAGCAATGTAGGGAATGAGTACCTGCGTCTCAACGATCTTCTGAGAAGTTTCCTCCATCAAAGGAACTGGAGCAAATTTCTGGCTATTAATCTCTAGGAGGTTAGCAGTCACCGAGGGAAGTGGTGGAGTAGAGAAGTCAGAGAATTTAGATGAGGTCGTCATTTCAGTAGACGATAGAGCAGATGGGGACGAAAGGTAGAAGATGAAGATGCAAGGTAGAAGACGAGGGTGCAAAGGTGGAGTGAATTAAGTTCGTAGTAAAAAACAAGGGTAAAAGGCCAACAAGCATTTAAAGGAAACTAACTAGGGTAGTGGAAGCAACGGAAGCGAAGGGCAATTAATGTGCATGGCGTGTGCAGTGTGGCAGTAGAACTGACGTGATAGGAGACATAAAGTAAAAAGAACCCTAAAACCCCAGAAACCCTAAACCCTAAGTTATTGTGGGCCTCCAAACATATGAAAACGGGAATCATGTTAAAAGAATATAAAACACAAATATTTATATTCTTCCAATGGGGCATTTTGTTAGTGGGGAATCGTTAAAAGGATCGAAAAACGAAGGAAAGAAAAATCGAAGATCATATGATTGGTTAAAAAACTGATAAAATTGGTAAAGGACACTTGGTGACCACAAAGATGAAAATGCATCGAGAATCAAAATTGAGAATCGAAAAAACAAATTTCGATGTCTATTGTTGAAGAGAATCGAGATATTAGAATGGTTAAAGGGAATCAAAAGCAAAATTTGAAATACTCGATGTCCGAAATCTAAATCGAGAGAGCGATGAACACACAGGAAACATGGGAAACGATTTCTAAATCGAGACAGAGATTGAATGTTAAAGGAGTAGTTCTCTTATACGTGAGAACGTGGAGTGCAATTTTTAAAACTATCAGACTAAAGGTACGTGCACGCAGGATCGTGGGGATAGTTTTGTTAATCGTTCTTAGGAGGTTATCTAAAGGGCGCCCTATAAATAGAATGAAGCATGAAGAAGAAAGGGGAATTGGCAGAGAGACTGAAACGCTAGTGAAAAAGTCTACTGGAGAACGACGAACATCATGAAGTTTCTGGTGATCTGGATTTCCATTTTCATTGAATATCTGTACCGCTTTCTTAACTTTCCCTGATAATTTATGTTCATGTAATTTACTTTGATGCAGTTTACGTTCAACAACTTTAAGTTTATGTACTTTCGATTCCTTGTTATTTTAATTTTATGTAAATTAAGATTATGCATTTAAGTCTTCACTATTTACACTTTATGCAATCTCGATTTCCTGTCATTTACATTTCTGCAATCTCGATTTCCTGTTATTTACATCTCTGTAATCTCGATTTCCTGCTATTTATATTTTTACAATCTCGATTTTCTGCTATTTACCTTTTCGCAATTTCGATTCTTTGTCGTTTACACTTAATACAAATTTGAGGTTTCCGTATTTTTTCGCAATTTAATATTCTGTACTTACTTTTCGATTCGACATTTTACTGCTTTCTATACTTCGAATACTTTAAATACAAAATACAAAAAATAGTACTTTCGATTCTCATTTCGCATACTAGGTTGCGTTAGAATTTGTGATACTATAGGATTTTCGATTCTCATACAAATTTTCGATTGAAAAACCATTTGTTAACCTAAATAAAAAGAATCTACGTTGATTAGAACAAAATTTTTTAGAAATCGAAATGGATCGAACTTTCACCACAAAACACTATGAAAGAGTTTATGAAATAAATGAAAATTAAAAGCAGAGACAAATGAAAAGATGGGAAACCTAGTATGTGTTCAGTTGAGCTTGAAGCCGTCGAAACTCTGGGATCCTTTTCCTTTATTGTTGAAGGAGTGGAGAGTTCCGTGGTTGGCCACATGGTCTCGTTTCCAGGGCAAAACAGATTTACTCAGTTGACTAGATTTGTCAGCAGAGTGAATCTTAGCACCCGTGAAAGTTTGGGAGCCTGATCCGAGGTTGTTGAAGGAATCTCCAGTTGCAGGACTGTTGATCTCGGCGTGGGTGAAATCTTGTAATCCGTCGCCGCAGTTGTTGAAGGACTGAACAGTTCCAGAGAAGCGGGGGAAGTGATTTGGAGTGGGGCGTGGATTGTTGGGGAGGGAGATGGTGGTGGTAACAGAAGGGGTGGAGACATTGACGATGTGGTGGTTATTCTCTGCGTGGGTGTCGTCGTGGGTAGAGTTTCTGTTGTTGGTTGTGCCACGCTTGTCATTGCTCCCATATGCCATCCTGCTTATTTCCTCGATTCATTGTGGGAATTGGGATATCGGTTTATTTGAGGGATTTGTCCATCCGCCTCAAAATATTATTTATCTTTTTCTTTTAAAAATTTAATTGGTTATTTGCAAAAGAGGGATTATATTTTGATACAATCATTCAATCATTTATTTTTAAATTTTTATAATATTATTTATCTATTTTTTTTATAATATTATTTATCTATTTTTCTTTATCTCTTCCCAATTAAAATATTAATTTTAAAATTATTATTTGTATATTTATAATAAAAAGTTGTCCAAATATCTTTTCTCTTTGTAAAATAAAAATAACTATTATTTTTAACTTTAAATTTTATCATTAATTTTTTAACTTAAAAACTACAATAAAAAAATAATAAAAAAAATCATATTAATAAATTTTTTTATTATTTTTTAAAAGTAAAGTTATATATGTCTTTAAAATTTTGAAAACTTAGAAATTTGTATTAGTATTTAATAAAATAAAGAAAAATGAAGTTGAATTTGAAATTTAGATTACTCTTTCAGAAAGATATTATATTTTAAAAACAATTCTATTTTTCATAATTAACAAATGAAATTGTACCCAGCTTTTTACGCAATTCCTTAATTCTACTTAAAATAATGGCTTTGGAAACTTCGCACCATTTGTTAGGTATTTTTGTGGAAGTGTAGTGTCTACTGGACCAAGAAAGAGTATCATCTTACTTCTTGAAGTGAATGTTGTTTTTTTTGTTTTTTTTAAATCGAGAGGATCACTGCCATGTCACTATGACAATTTTATAAGATTATCATAATGTTTTTTTTTTTTACACGGTTTTGAAAATAGGTCTGACCAATTTATTCCGTTAAACAGAATCAGACTAAAATTTAGTTTTTAAATAATTAGATTTTAATTAAATTAGATAAAATGATAAAATTGGTTGAATTTTTTTATCAAGTCAATTTTGATAAAAAAAATTATAACCAAATTTTTTATTATAATTTATTTTATAAAAGATATAATATATTTTATTTTTTTATTTTTTATCTTATATTAATTACGTTAATGTTAAATAATAATTTTGTAAATATATTTTTATCTTATTTTCATTATAATTTATATTTTATATTTATAATTTTTATTTAATATGATAATAATTTTTATTATTTTATGTTTTTTTATTAAATTTATTATATATTTATTATAATAAAAATATTATTTTATTAAATTCAATTAAACTTTAATTAAACCTTAAAATTTTGAATTCATATTTTCACTTATTTAATGACTAATCGGATTTTGAAAACATTATTCCTTATCACCAATAAAAAAATTAAGAGGTAAAAGAAAACTTGAATACTAATTTGACTCTTTTAAAAAAAGTGTGAAAATTAACTTTCTCTTTATTCTCCTTAAGAAAGATAAAATAGACTTAATTAATTTAAAACTTTTAATATATAATTGATAACACAATTCAATAATACCAATATAATATTAAATAAGATAAAATAGACTTAAATAATTTAAAATTTATAATATATAATTGATAACACAATTCAATAATACCAATATAATAAAACTAGTTTTTATCTTATGTTTAATAATATCACTTATGTTATAAGACATCTTCGTTGAGAGAGCAATTATATATATCACTAAAAATTCTAAATTTATTGTTATTAATGTCAATCATTTATTTGTTTCTAATATTCTTTGTCATTATTATTATATTTATAAAACTATTTTTAAATGTTATTAAAATAAATATTTATTATGATAAAAATAATTATTAATGATAATTATATAAATAATGATAATATTCAATTTTCACAAATATATAAAAATAATAGTGATAAATTGTTTATCGTTATTATTAATTTATAATAATTATCTATTTTAATATCATAATTATATAAAATAATAATAATAAATAAATAAATTGAGACTGATAATAATATATAATTATTATTATTATTATTATTATTATTATTTTAATATTAAATTTTTTGTAATTATTAATTATTTTTATTATCTAATTATTTTTCTTTTCATTATTAATAATTTAAAATAATAATGATTTATTTTGATATTAAAATTATATAAAATATTAATAATAAATTAATTGTAAATGATAATAATTTGTAATAATAATTATTATTTTAATATTAAAAAATTTGTCATAATTATTAATATTTTATTATCATGTAATATGTCTTTATTTAATTTTCATTATTAATACTAATGGAAACATCATGTTTATAATTTTTTTTAATTAATTTTTTTTAATATTGTATTAAATATTATTTTATTTTTTCTTTCCACCCTTTAAATATATTCAAATTTTTTTTGTTATTTTCTCCTTCTCATCATTTTATTATTTTAAAATATATAAATTATAATATATTTTTTTAAATAACAATTTTATTTTTCTCACTCTCAAGGGTTGTAAAACGAATCCGCTTAATACATAATTATAGATTTTATCCTTGAATTATTGGAAATTACATTGATGATGTGTATATTCCTTCTACCTCACAATAAATAAGTAAATTATTTTAAAATTACAAAAAATAAATAAACATTCAAATAGAGATTATTCATTACATATTGGATGCCAAACATTAAATTACAATAAAATGTTCAACAATATTCTAAATAATATATATATATATATATATAACTTAATTTATTTATATTCTAAAGTATTATATTATTATATAGCTTAACCTAATTTTATTTTAAGATTGAGGTGTGAAAATAGGTTTAATTAGATAGATCGAAAGGTCCGAGAAGCTAAGACAAAATTTTGTGACTTAAATTGAATTAGACCTATTTTGTCCTAGCCTATGTAAGTCATAACCTACATGGACTTATGTCAAGTTAATATTGGATCCGTTTATATAATAATAATTATTTTTAAAATAAAAATAATATTTTATTATAATATATATATATATATATATATATATTATAAATTAATTTGACAAGGATTAAGAGTAAATATCAGAAAAAGTTTTTAACAACTATTTATTCCAAGATCTAATGAATAAGATTAATTATTATTTTAGATTAATAAATTACTAATAAATAATAATAATAATAATAATAATAATAATAATAATAATAAAGACTATGTTTTTAACTTTTATTTTGAGATTAAATTGATACATTCTCTTATAATTTATATATTAAATTATTATATCTTAAATAAAAATTAATTTCATTAATATCATTTAAATTTTAAACATATTTTTTATTTTTATTTTCATTTAAGTATTTTTTAATTAATTAATTTAATATAAATATGTTAATTTTTTTATTTTAATCATGCAAAAATTGGTCTGTTAGCTTGTCTACCTAACATAAGGTTAGATTAGATCATCAATTTTTTATTTATTTTGTATGAAGTTAAGTTGGGATAAGTCGATCAAACAACTCTACCTTAAAGAATTAAAAGTAGATAACTTAAATGGTAATATCTTCAAAAGATTTGATTATGCAAGATAAATAAAAGAATTAAAAATATAAAGATGTATCTCCCCTAGCTATCATTCTTTAGAATCAACCTAATGTTATAAGAAAGTGGCAACTAATAATGCAAAAGTAAAAAAAAAAAAGTTAATAAGAAAAAATTACAAATAACAAGAAAAGAAAGATAAAAAACAAAATATAATAGGGTGAAGAAAAAGGAAGAAGAAGGATAAATCAATAAATAAAATATAATAGGATAAAGGATAAAATCAAGAAACAAACATAACGGGATGAAAAAATAACAGAAAAATATAATGGGACAAAGAAAGAAAGAAGGAACAAGAGTATATATTTTGAATTTAAAGTTTATAATAATCAAGTTGAGTACGAAACTTTAATTTTGAATTTAAAATTTATAATAATCAAGTTCAGTATCAAACTTTAATTATTGGATTAAGGTTGGCTACTGAAATTGGGGTAAAAAATCTTTATTATAAAAGTGACTCTAAGCTCGTAATAAGACAAATAATTAGAGAATTTCAAGCTAAGGAACTATTTGTACAAAAATATTATCAAATAGCTAAAACTCAAATAGAAAATTTTCATAAATTCAAAATAGAACACAGACCTAGGAAGCATAATGATCGAATTGATATTCTTTCAAAGCTCACCAATACAAAGAAAGCAGGGCAACACAAGACGTTGTTGCAAGAAAAATTGAGAATTCCCAGTTGGGATTACGATGATGTATTGCACATTGATCTAGCAAAATCGACATGGATGATTCCTATCATTAATTATTTAAAAAATGAAATACTTCCAAACATTTCGGAAGATGCTCAAAAAATGAGAAGGATAGTAGTGTTCTTTGTTTTACTCGACACAATTATTTAAAAGATGGTTCTCAACACCTGTTTGGATGAGAACCAAGTTGGATATGTGATGAATGAATTGCATAATGGGATACAGGAGTATATTCAAGAGCTTGAAACATGGTAGCAAGGATCCTTCAAGAAGGATATTATTAGCCAACTATTAAGCAAGATGCAAAGAGTTTCATAAAAATATCAAGCATTTCCAAAGTATAGACCGGTATTTAAAGCACCTCTAGAAGAACTTCACAACACTTTATCTGCATGACCCTTTGCTAGATGAAAAATCGACATACTAGGTCAATTTCCCATTGCTAAAGTAGAGTCTTTAGCCACAATCATCACACAACAAGTCCAAAAATTTATATGAAAAAATATTATTTGTAGGCATGGAATCCCCCAAACCATAATTATAGATAATGGAAAATAATTCACTAATAAAAATTTGGAACAATATTTAGAAGGGTTAATAGTGAAACATTTGGTAAGCTCGGTGGAGCATCCACAAACAAACGACCAAATAGAAGCCGGCAATAAGGTCATTCTAAATGAGCTTAAGCATAAACTCAGACAAGCAAAAGAGTGTTAGGCAGAAGAAATACCAAATATTATAGGGATATCATTGCACTCCTAATCTTTAACTCAAGAAACACCTTTTAGGTTAACTTATGGTGTTGATGCCATGATACCAATTAAAATAAGGGAAAAATCTTGGAGAAAGAAAAATTATGATGACAAAACTAATAACGAAAACATTTAGATAGAATTGGATCTGGTCGATGAGATAAGACATTTGGCTCATGTTCGAGAAGAAGCCATCAAAGGCGAGTGGAGAAAAAGTATGATACCAAAAAGAGAAGGAGTTTTTGAAAATGAGACCTTGTATGGAAAAAGGTTGGCAAAGCTTAGAAAGATTGATCAGAAGGAAAAATGGCCACTAACTAGGATGGTCCACATTAAGTAATAGATTTTTTTTTTCAGAATGGAGTTTATAAACTATAAGTACTAACAGGAAAATTAATACCTCAAACGTGGAACACCACTCATCTGAAAGCATATTATAGTTAATACAATTTGGAAGAAATCAAGCTTGAGAAATCAATCTCAGAGAATTTGGTTGAGTTGATGCTCTCAATAATAAATTGGTCGAGTTGAAGGTCTTATTAATAATTTGGTCGAGCATATGCTCCCATTAATAAGTTGGGCGAGTTGTTGATGTCCCAATCAAAAACTTGGTTGAGCATATGCTTCCATTAGGCGGAAGAAATCAATCTCGAGGAAATCGAGCAAAAGAAATTGAACATGAAAAAAATTGAGCATAAGAATCTGAGCTCAAAGAAATCAAACCCGAAATAATCGAGTGGAAGAAATCTAGCTTAGGAAAGAGGAACTTGGAATAATCAAGAGCAGAATAGGCGAACTCGAAAAAAGTTCAACTAAAGAAAAATTAACTTAGTAAAATTAAGGTCGAACAACTTCATAGTTCATACATCTTCATTACAATTAGATTTTGAACTTAGGGGTTTGTGTACGTGTCCAAGTTCAATGGAAAAAATATTCCTTGAGTTAATGGATCATTAATAGGTATTAATACAAAATTATCGACTTATTAATAAGGTAACAAATCATTCAACAATTAATATTGTAATAAAGACGAATAATTACCTAGTAATATATATATATATATATATATATATATATATATATATATATAAATTTCCACTTGACGATGATTAACTGTTATTTGATAGAATATATATATTGATATTGACTTAAACATTAAAGTTTTTTCGCATGTGGACCTCCCTTTCGTTTTTGAAGACGTTATATCTCATTCCATCGAGCTCGAGTTGTTTGAGTCCAAGCTTCCAAGCTATCTATAGTGACCAATGCTGAAGTGGCAAACTTGAAGCAACAAACTGTTTTATTGTTTGTTGAATAATTATCTCTTATTTATTTGAAGTCCCTTTTCTACAATAAAAAATATCAACATTAGTAAGACCTAAAAGTTTTTTAATATGTCTTGTGTGTTGAAAATGTGGCAATACAGCTTAATCAGAATGGAAAAGTATTTTCCACAAAACAAAGTGTTGAAAAAATCTTAAGGTCATTAGCAAAATCATTTAATAGTGTGGTGTGTACGATAAAACAAGCAAAGAATTTGTCCGACCTATTAATAAAAGAGTTGATCAGATCTCTTGAAGCCTATAAGCACCGAATGGAGAAAGATAATGAGGACAAGGATACAAGTGCAAAACTGCTCTAGACCAAGGAGAAGACGTTTTATTCGTAGAACAATAGAGGAAGAGGACGTAGTGGTCGGTCCTGAAGTGGACGATTTGGCTGAGGAGGTTGAGATGGATCTAGTGGCCGAAGTGATGAAAATGAAGAAGGAGATTGACATAACTGGCGAGGTAGAGGACGTGGATCGAGAAGAAGTTGATCAACGAACCACTCAAATGTTGAGTGTTTCAAGTATGGCAAATATGACCATTATGCGAAGGACTGCTACTCAAGAAAATGCTTTAATTGTGGAAAGGAGGGACATTATGCGAAAGAATGTCAAAAGATAGGTGAAACCTATCTTGCAAAGGAGAAGGAAACTGAAGAAACATTGTTAATGATCGAGCTCAACACAAGAATTTGCAATGAAGGAATTCGAGAAGATATTGATCAAATGTCGGTATGGTATTTGGGTAGGGTGCAAGTAACCATATGTGTAGAGATTATCACCTATTCAACAAATTAGAGAAATTTAAGGACGATCGGAGACATTTCAAGAGTCTTGGTAAAAGGCCGAGACATAGTCGACTATTTTCAGAAGGATGACCAAATCAGGTCAATCCAAGATGTGTTTTATATTCCAGATCTCAAGAGTAATCTTTTGGGTATGAGACACTTGATGGAGAGGATACTCAATTTTCATGCAAGATTGAATATTAGAATTGAAGGACAAGCTCGAAAGGTTGATTGCCCGAGTAGAGATGAGAAATAATAGAATATACAAGTTGTAGTTAAGAAACATTTGTGAAAGGAGTATGAACTCAAATGTAGAGGACATGTTGAAGAAAAATTACCGATCTGGTCACATGCATTTTTGTGGTTTAACCAAGTTGATTTATTATGATAATTATGATATTGTCCGAATTGGTGATACAAATGAGTGGAAGTGAGAACAATTAGAAGGAAACTGAGTAGGGCAAACTGTTGCACCTACAGTTGTTGTCAAATTGGAAGGAGATCGAGCTACTGCAACACCAGTTGTTGTCAGCTCGGAAGGAGGCCGAGCTACTACTGCTACACTACCAGTAGTAGTCAGTTCAAAAACCAAGAGGGAATAAATAACCACAAAGTTGAAGAAAAATATGAAAAACATATGTTCAAATTATCGAGCATGGAGGGAAGAGTTTACAAAGAGTGGTTCGTAACCATGTCCAAGCTGTTGTGGACAAAATGCTCCAAGTTGTTGTAGAAGAGAAGGTCCGAACTTTTGTAGACGAGAAAGTCCAAATTATATTTGAAGAATAGAAGATCCAAGCTGAAATTGAGGAGAAGATCTAAGCTGTTGTGGACAAGAAGGTTCGAGCTGTAATTGAAGAGAAGAACCAATTGTTATGGATTAAAAGATCTGAGAACATAATGACATGTTGATAATGACCAAATTGTCAAGCTATAATCGAACAGTTAGAGTGAAGTAGGTAAATGTGAAGTTGACATTTATGAATGGTGTGCTCAAGTCTGTTGGAGTGAAGTAGGTGAATGTGAAATCAACATTTATGAATGGTGTGCTCAATGAGGTGTATGTTGAGCAACCACTTGAATACGCGAAAGCGAGAATGAGTCAGGAATATGTTTATCCCAAGAAGCATATGCAAAGGTGATCCTGCATAAATTCAAGATGACCGATTTCAATTCGATATCAACCCTCTTAGACAATGACTGGTGTGTAAATGTGGATGATTGGGATAAAGGATGGAAGGAACCCTGGGTTCTCATGAAGATGACAAGTCCGCTGGTAGGTAACTTGAAAGTTTGGAGCTTAGAATGTTTTGAAGGCCAAAAATTTTTGAAGTACAATAAGTGGATGATCAATGTCAAATCGATCTCATATTTTGAAGCTCAATAAATATTCAAGCTAGTTAAGAAAAATCGATATCAAATTGATGTCTTGATTTATGCTTTGTTTAGTTGGAGTGATTTGAGAGAGTGAAAAAGGAGGGATTTGAAGAGAAATGAAGGTAAAGTTAAAGTTGTTTGGATGAATGGAAAGTGAAAGGAAAGTTTATGGGAAATTGTGAATGATTTGATGGATATGAGATATAAAAATTATAATTTTATGTTGATTATTTAAGAAAATTATCATTTTACCCTTTGTATAAAATAAGGTTCAAATGATTATAAATATAATTTTTTAATTAATTATCCATATTTTGCATTGATTATATATTTAAAAGAAAAAACAAAATTAAAAGTGTTTGTAATTGGAAACAAATTTAAAAAAATAACTTTTTTTAGATAGTTATTAAAAATTATATAAATAAACAATTACAAAATTATGTACATTGCATATCCATATTCAAATAATGTTGACATATTAAATAAATTATTTGACTAATAATTAAATAATTATAAAATATAAAATAATAATTAATATTGATCTGATAATAACAAATAATTATGAAAACTAATAATATAATTGTACATTATTATTTAAAACAAATATAAAATACAAGTGAAAATAGAATAATAATTAAATGAAACAATACTAAAATTATAAACCTATGCACACTAATGTTCTTCAAACAAATAATTATAATGTTATTCATCTTTTGCAGTCAAGTCCTCTAGTTCAGATCATTCAATCACTTCCACTCAAGAACATGAACAACTGGGAGAGACGAAGATGTCCCATATATCTGACTCGAATGTTGAAATGTTGATGATCGTCTCATCACATTAACTTGAGATAAAATAATTACAATATAATTTTCTACTTTGAGGATGAACAATATAATTAAACTAAAAATTGAGAATACTCTTATACATTTTTGAACTCTTTTGGATAAATTTTGTTTTCCTCATTTTTGATAAAGTTAATTTTAATATTTAAAAGTATTTAACATTTTGAATTCTGAAAGATTTTCTCTAATAGCAAATTTAAAAACATAATATTCAAAAAAATATTTTAAGATTCAGTCTCGGGTTGTATTTCGCTCGAGCGATTATACTCTCGCTCGAGCGAAATACCATCCTGATCGATCATAATTTGATATGATCGATCATAATTAGAGGATATAATAGCGGTTCCTCTGTAACCGCTATCTAAAATATATATTAGATAGCGGTTATGACCGCTATATAATATATATTTTAGATAGCGGTTCCTCTGGAACCGCTATCTAAAATATATATTAGATAACGGTTATGGTTTAACCGCTATTACAAGTTGTTTTTAAGAGCGGTTCTGGGGGAACCACTATCATATGCAACAAGTTTTTTGATTGAACGCTCATATCTGAAAATATATAATAGCGGTTAAGATTTAACCGCTATTAGAAGTCCTATATAATAGCGGTTAAGTTTTAACCGCTATTAGAAGTGCTATATAATAGCGGTTAAGTTTTAACCGCTATTAGAAGTGCTATTATAATAGCGGTTAAGATTTAACCGCTATCATATACAATCATCGCGAGGAGGTGTGGGTGCACTGTGTGTTCACATGCAGGAGATGAAGAAGGGTAAATAAGTCATTTATTATTTGATGATCTGTCTTTCTCTGCTATCCTCTCAAATCCTCGCAACTCTACCGGGTGAGCTTTCCTCCCCTCTCCCTCAAATCCGCGCCTGCAAATCCTCTCAAATCACTTGCAACAAACGACTTGAATCTCTCATTTACGTCTTCGTGAAAAGTAAATCGGTTCAAACAAACACACTGTTAAAGCCGAAAGAATTGTTAAAAATAACGAATCAAGAATTAAGAGATCGACAATTTTACTAAAAAATTTAATTTTATGAGATAATTTTGATAAATAAAATCAAATAATCAATTTTAAAATTTTGGTAAAAGAAAAAAATAATAAGAATTATGAAATATTTTAATATTAAGAATATATTAATAATTATCATTTAATTTTAAGAATATCTTAATATTGTATATAATATAATATTAGATGTTTTAGTACGAGAAAGAATCAGTAATATATATTATAATATATATATTGGACGAAGGACGTGGGTTGGGTATCTGCACATGATGTGTTTCGATATATATATATTGGACGAAGGACGTGTTGGGTTGGGTATCTGCACATGATGTGTTTCGATTGGAATGCGTGCGTGAGTGGCTATGCATGGGAGGAAAGTAGGGAGGGGACTTTTCGTCAATGAACGTGTTGCGTTGGGTATCTGCAGATGATGTGATTGGATGGGAATTGTACAACGCTTTTGAAATTATTAGCGTTTGTACGGTTAGCGTGTTTTTATATTTATTTTATTATATTTTATATTTATATTTATTATTATGATTTATAATAGTTATGATAAAAAATTTATTATTATTTTAAAATTATTGTTACTAATGATTCTTACCCGTATAGATCAAGAAGAATATATGCATATATGAGATTGATCATCAAACTGTATTATTAAAATATGGATAAGGATAATTTTTTTGAAAATGAGAAAAGATTAAAAAAAATCCGATATCTAAGTAAAATTTTAAATAAAAAATTATAAAATAAGAGAATGAATAATAAGATAATTTTATTTCTGAGTCAATTTAATTATATAAAACCTAAAAGATAAATTACAATATTATTAAAATAATATGTTGCTAACGAAAATTAAGTATGATATCAATAGATATTTAATAAATTTATTATATATTTATTATATTATAAAAATATTATTTTATTAAAATATAGTTTTCTCATATTAATTTGTCAGATCCAAGTTTTAAAAGTATTGTTGAATGAAGTGACATGAATGTAAAAGAAATTTTTTAAAAGTTATATGAATTATTATTTTTTTGTAGGGTATACGTACAGGTATATGACATGTTTTCAACGTTACAAAGTTTGATTAAAACTTCCCAGAATTCATTTTTTTCTTTTTAATAATATTTTAACATGCGACAGTTTAATATATTTTTGCATTCAGAAGTTCAATATGGTAATTTTTCACATTAAAAAACATGAAGTATGGATATTTTTAAAAATGAGAATATGAATAGAATATTATAATGTGTCCACAGAATATTTTTCTACACAAGATGGTATTCGATGCTACGCTGATTGATACAGGATTCTCTCTTCTGCATATAATAAAATTATCAAATATTTGAATTAAAAGAATGACTTTTCAATTGACTTATCATCTTATTTATTGACTTCACTGTCCGAGTCTGGTACGCCTAACATGATGTGATCCATCATTCAAGGATTCACTTTTCTATGACTTTAAAAAAGATGACTCGTCATTTTCTACTGCCATGACATAAAAATAGAACTATTATTAAGTTTATTTAAGAGGAAGATAATTATTTTTAAACAAAAAATTTATTCTATTATTTTTAAATTTTTTTTTAACATATTTATTAAATTATATGATATTTTAAATATTTTTAAAATTTACTTATTTTTACTTTACCAAATAAAAAATCATATGCTATTTTTAGGTAAAGTTTTTGTCGACACTAGTAAGAAAGTTAAATGCATATGTTTCTATTTTCACTAAATAAATTAAATAAAAGAAAATGACCCTAGTAAAAACAAAGAAAGTGGGAAACTTACTGTTAAAATCAATAGATATTATGTTGAAAAAATTAGGACTATTTGATTTAAATTTGTTCTTTTACTTTTAAAGATAGTTTTTAAAGATAATTTTTTTAAAAATAAGTTGAGAAAAAAATATTTGATAAGCTTATTCTAAAAGTTATTTTAACATGATATAAATAATTATAAAAAATTATGAAAAAAATATTTTTTTGACAACTATATAATAATTAAAATTAATACTACAATATAATTATTAATGAAAATGTTGATATCATTAATAAAAGATTTTAATTAGAAAATGTTTGTTATTAAATTTTTAAAAATTTTTAAAAATTAAGAGATAAAACGTATTTTAATAAATAATTATTAATCAAGTTTTTCAAATTTTAAACATAAAAAATAAATAATTATTTTAAAAAGAGTAATTAAACAAGCCACTTTTTAGTGACACAAAATAATGAATAAAGAAATTAAGTAATCATAATTAATTTAATTTTTTAAAATACATGAAAATTTTCATTTGATTTTAAAATTTAAAATTAAATATATCATTTTAATTAATCTATAATATTTTTATTTTAATCCATTTCTGTCATGATAAAATATAATTATATATATATATATATATATATATATATATATAAAATTAACATTGAAAGGTAAATATTTATTTGAAAAAATATAAAAAATAATTATTTATTTATTAATATTTAAAATAATATATATATATATATATATATATATTAAAGAAAAAATCATTCAATTAGAAAATAATTTTATTTTTAATTATAGAAATGAGTACATTAAAAAAATTACGAGTTTAAATAAATTTATTTTGAAAATATGACTTTAAGAAAATGAATCTCTAGCAAATGCAATTTATTTTTTTAGAAAAAAGTAACATCATATAACATGGTTTTTTTTTTTTTTTCTTGAGTTCTGTTGCAAAAGACGGTTTAATTTCTCCGCCTTCAGATCTATCCGCGCTTATTGCGTGCCTAACATTGTTTTGGTACAGTCTGAAGATAAGGTTTGTCACGAGGGCTTGGTTACGAAGTATCTTCTCTCATTTTCAAACAAAGTCACAATTGTGATTTATACATGAGATTTTCCAGGTGACCGGCCTCTAGATAATATTCATATTGTATCTCATTAATGTTTTTTATATATAATACTATAATATTATTTTTAATTTTTTTATTTTTATCTAATACGAAATATCAACTTACATTTAAATTTTTAATAATCTTATTTCTTTCAAGTTGATGTAATAGTGATTTTACTTACATCATCGTTCAACTCAAGCAAATTCGCTTGTTTTAAAAATTTATCAATAAGACTTTTGATAAAAAATTCATAATTTAAGATATTTCACTTATTTAAACTATAATTAATTAAATCGGTCATCACACCAATTATCGATTTTAATATCACTATTAGATACTTTCAAGAGAATTATACGAAGATTCTCAATAATCGAACACAAATTAATCATATAAAAAAATATAACTAAACTTTCAATCCAACATTTTACATTAAATTATCTTTCTTTCTCTCTTAAGAAATATTGAACTTCAAATTCACATGTATGTTCTAAAAAGTAAAAAATAATTAAAGTTGGTGATACTCAATCTTTAGCCAACAACTTATAAAGTAAATAAGCATAAAATTATTTGTTTTATTACAATGTAATTTGACCAAAAGTTGAGTAATGGGTTTTACAAAGATGTTAAATCCAAATCTGATTACTTTGGGAACATTGTAATTTTTTACACCACTTACCTACTAATAAATATAACTTGAATTGTGTTTTACTTATTGGCTTAAATCACCATTAAGGAAATATCATGTTTAGTAATAAATATAACTTGAATTGTGTTTTACTTGTTGGCTTAAATCACCATTAAGGAAATATCATGTTTAGTCGTGCTTTACTAATGGAATTTCAATTTCTTTTAATTGATAATGTTGTTCAAAGTGTTCTAGAAGAGTATGGAAAACCAACAACCAAAGACAAATTTTAGAAATCTAGATGTGTCCATGACCAAAGCAATTGGAGAGGTAATTCCAAACACATGTCATAGATTGTGCTTGTGGCATTTAGTAAGAATGTATTTCTAGCTGATATCAAATCCTTTCAAGGAGTGGTAGAAAAAATAGTGTATTAGATGAGATTGTAAGGAAAACAACAAGTCTCACACATTTCTTGATGACATTTGAGAATGTGAGAAGAGAAGTCCCACATCAGGAAATTATATGTTGGTGTTTACTTTTCTTGTTATAAAGGGAGCACACTGTCTATCTTATAAATCACCCAAAATATCTTCTTTCTCTCTTCTATTAATACATTGCATAGTAGTTGAGTTCTCTTATTTCTTAGAGAGAATATTATTATTGTTTTCTCCTAAGATTTAAAGAGGGTACTATAATTTCTTTCAGTAGTAAAATTCTATTATTTCCTATTATCGGTTTTGTTTATCTTTCCTCATCTTTTGTTTTAGTTGTGAGTTCTTATACAATTACTCTAATTCCTAACAGTGGTATCAGAGTCGTTGGTTGGTTTCTTATTTATGATATTATTTCGCTGCTATAGTCCTTAAAATAGTATTAAAGAAAATTCTTAGTATGATTTGTGGTTGCAGTTAATTCGATCTTCTACATCATAAAAGAGTTATTCTAGTTACTAGATATAAAGTATGGTAGTGTGACAGTGCATGTCTAGGAAAAGTTCTGGCAAGGAAAAACTTGGTATTTAAGTGTGTCCATTAGTAACTCACCTATCTTTCCTAGGAGTTTACTTGGTGTATTAGTTATGGTTTATGCTATTGTTTCAGTAGGTAATACTATTTAGAGTGAAAGGTGCACAAATCGTTTAAAACCATAACAACAAAATATGAGATAAAAAAGTTTAATGAGAATAGTTTCTCATTGTGCAAACTGAAGATGAAGACAATTTTGAGAAAAGAGAATTATGTAGAAGTAATTAGAGAAATACATGGGCATCAAAGATCGAAGGTGGGAAGAAATTAACAACAACACTATAGCAAATTTGTGGAGAAGGGTACAACGAAGGAGATTTGGGAGTCCTTCATCAAATTATATAAGGAGGAAACATATATTGGACTTGGTTTATTATAATGTGTTGGATTCACCAGTATTATCCTTAGGAGGAGCCAAATATTTTGTGTCAGTGATGACACTGATTATTCCAGAAGATTATGGGTGTATCGCTGTTAAATTATTGGCAAGCGTACCAAAATTATCAATCGCAGTATAGTATTTCGATTAAATAAAAGTTGATCCCACGAGGAACAGTTTTAATGGAAATTCCCAATTATATGTTTACTAAGTAGATTAAAACAGAATGAGTTTTGCATAAAGAGTTGAATTGAAATTAAATGATAAAGATCTGTAAATTGTTGAGAAAAGATCAATTAAAGGCACTTAGGATTGACTTTTTTCCTTATCCCTCTTTTGTAATGGCTATGTCACTTAAGAACGTTAATTAACCTAACAATGTTAATGCCACCTACTCAATTCAATTCATCCATGTTGATTCCTCACACATGAAATTCATAAGAAAACCTAATAAATGTTGATTCCTCACACAATTAAGAGATTTTCCAGCATTAGGTTTAGGGTGTTAAGTAATTGATACATTCATTCCATTCTTGGCAATTAATGTAACAAATATTCTTACTGTGATCTAGGGTTCAAGATATATTTTCCAATCATACCCCAAACATCAAGAATAAATCATTCTAAAGCACAAAGGATAAGAATAACAACATCAAAACATAGATTAATATCTCAAAATATCACCATGATACAAAAGAGTTCAAAGGAAGTGCACCCAATCCCAAGAGAATGAAGTTAGCCACTCATGTTGGCCATTACAATGCTCCAAATGTGGAAGAAGTGAAGAATTGATGAAGATTGGACGAAACCCTAACAGTAGTTGCGCCTCTTCTCCCCAAAACTGCTTGCTTTTCTCAAAACACATCTTTTCTTTTTATAGGAAAAATTGGGCTTTTGGCCTTCGCATCTTTCGCTCAGATGACAACTTTCTCTCAAGGGAAAGTTGCCTATTTTTGCTCAAGCGACAAAACGCTCGCTTGAGCGAGTGAACTCCAAAGAAGAATAACTAACATTCGCTCAAGTGTTGAATTATTGGCAAGCGTACCAAAATTATCAATCGCAGTATAGTATTTCAATTAAATAAAAGTCGATCCCATGATGAGCAGTTTCAATAGAAATTCCCAATTATGCTTACTAAGTAGATTAAACAGATTGAGTTTTGCAAATAAGAGTTGAATTGAAATTAAATGACAAAGAACTGTAAATTGTTGAGAAAATATCAATTAAAGGTACTTAGGATTGACTTCCTTCTTTATCCCTCTTTTGTAGTGGCTAAATCAATTAAGAACGTCAATTAACCTAACAATGTTGATGCCACCTACTCAAACCATCCATGTTGATTCCTCACACATGAAATTCATAAGAAAACCTAATAAATGTTGATTCCTCACACAATTAAGAGATTTTCCAGCATTAGGGTTAGGGTGTTAAGCAATTGATACATTCATTCCTGGCAATTAACGTAACAAATATTCTTACCGTGATCTAGGGTTCAAGATATATTTTCCAATCATACCCCAAACATCAAGAATAAATCATTCCAAAGCATAAAAGATAAGAATAACAACATCAAAGTATAGATTAATATCTCAAAATATCACCATGATACAAAAGAGTTCAAAAGAAGTGCACCGAATCCTAAGAGAATGAAGTTAGCCACTCATGTTGCCCATTACAATGCTCTAATTGATGAAGAAGTGAAGAATTGATGAAGATTAGACGAAACCCTAACAGTAGTCGTGCCTCCTCTTCTCCAAGACTGCTTTCTTTCTCAAAACACATCTTATCTTTTTATAAGAGAATTTGGGTCGGGCCTCGCATCATTCATTCGCTTAAGCGTTTTTCTCTCTTTCAATTTTTCTCTAATTATGCTGACAATTATGCTCCTTACTCTTGTATCAAGGTATTCTCGAATTCATCCTATATTGGGAGAAAAATATATTAGAATTAACATAAGTTAAATGGTTTCATAACAATTTACGGCATAATTATATCAACTATTTACCACTTAACAACTCCCCCAACCTAGAATCTTGTTTGTCCCAAGAAAAGTAATTTTTCCAAAGGTGATGCTCACAATTCCAACATAAAAATCTTCTTCCAAGCAAAGTAATCTTCTTCCAGAATCACAACATAAAAATTTTCAAAGGTGATGCTCACAATTCCAAATGAAAATAGAACATATAAACATTCAAGTTACAAAAACTAACAAAGAATAATTAGTCCTCAACTATCCTCAGAGAAGCATGATCTCTCAAATAGAGTTATATATAATCATCTCTAATTCTCATATGTAAGTGTTTATCTCATTCAATCACTTCCTTTAGACAATCCAATATTGATAATCATCTTCAAGCAATCAACATTTGTTAAGCAAGACTTAAATCAAAAGGTCTTTTGAGGCTTGTAATGGGGCTGGGCTAAGAAAGAATTATTGGTTTTTCTGGGATATACAAAAATATTTGAGAAATTCAACTCATATGAATGATTCTTGATCAACAATTCCTCAAGTCAGGTTTCAAACTTCATGCTTTTGTCCCTAACACAATGACAATGAGTTAATGATCTCACAAGTTATTATTCCCCCCTTGAACTACTTTTCTATTTTTTTTCTCATGCTTTTGCATGTATTCTTTTTGGCTTTGCCAATTTTTAAGTTTTGCTTTTCCTTTTTCTTTACACCTTTTTTTTTAACAATAACACCCCAATAATACCTGTAGGATAACAATAGCAATACACAACAATAAGAAAAATAGTGACATTCATACTCATTTCCTTTTCAAATATAAGAAGGTAGATAAATAATGTTTAGGTTTAAGGGTTGTGTTTAAGAAACAATATTATTTTTGGCTTAGAAGAGGTTCAAATGGATGTCCTATAATTAATGTAGGGTTGACTATTTGGCTCTGGGTTATATCTACTACAAAGAAAAAAAATGTCTTTATCATTTTCAAGTCTTGCCAACATGTAATCACATTAAAGAATCAACTAATATCAGTTATCATCATAAAGTGTTGACACTCAATTTATCTATTTTTGGTACTCTACTCACCTGGGTTTTGGCTAGCTTCTCCTATTCAGTTAATTGCTAATTCTCCTCATCAATTCCTTTTCACTATCATACTCATCATCCCAAAATCACTTGTTATTGGAAACAATCAAAATGATTTTCACGTTCCAGATTTGAATTAGACAATAAGCAATAATCTCATATATGACTCTAAAACAAATTATGGGACAGCAAGGGAATTCAAAATTTAAAATAAAGCAATTAAAAACATTAAATTAAAATAAAGGAATTAAATACATTAAAAACAAAGTAAGTTTCCTCCCTCATTTACTTCACTTGTCATCTCCTCCTTATCATGTGTCTCATCCTCAGCTGCAGACTTTCTCACCCCCTCTCGGAAAATTTGGACTGTCCCTAGGCCATTGAAGTAAGATTTAAAAGTCTTGAGGAGAAGTTCACTGTATACCTGGAGCAATCTTGCAAAGAAAGAACCTAAGGAAGAAAAATGCACAAAAAACTTAAACTGCAAAAAGAAAAAAAAAAACAAATTCAAAACATTGGGTTGCCTCCCAAGAGCGCTTATTTAACGTCTTCAGCTTGATGCCTATTTGTTTTAGGGCTCATGCAGGTGAGTGATCAAGGTGATCTATACGCATTCTCTATCCCTTAACTGTCCTTGTCGGAATGAATTTATTCTTTTCATTGCGAATAACCTTACAACTGTTAGAGATTGGATAAATCATACACTGTCGGGAGGTTTCGAGTACCTTTCTTTGAACAACTTCCTTCATAGTCGGATTGAGATGTCTTTGGGGTTCTGCAACATGTTTGTAATCTTGTTTTTCAATTGAGATGGGTAATTCCTCCAAAGTATCTATTCTGAGGCAATCTTTCTTGTCTTCCTATTGTTGTA